GAGTTTTGTATTTATACCATTTGTGTGCTTCCAAAACGTTTTAGTGGCCTGTTCATCAAGTACGCCTGTGTGTCCTTTATTTCTTTCATATTGGCACAGTTCCCTTTGTGTAACTAATTTGAAAGGGAAGCAAAGGGAAAAGTTTAAATCAGCCATTCTCTGTCCTAGAATTTCCCTGCATTAACCTTGTCCTTAATATATATATATATATACTGTTCCCTTAAACTCTAGAAGGCTTTGTGTCATTATATACTGTTCTGTTGCTACCCTTTCCCATTTAACTTACCTATTACTCCTAAGTCCTGTGAAATACCCCTTGGATCCAGATTGATTATACCTGATTTTCTCCACTGTGTGTAAAAGGTATATTGTGATTGTAGATTTTTATATGTCATGTCTGTAAGAGTCTCTAATTTTCTGATCTCTGCATCACTGTTCCAAATCCAAGATCTCCAGCTCCTTCTGGAAAGGCTCACACTGCTGTGGCCACCCCAGGTGGCCCTGATGTCCCTAGCGGCCTTGATCTCAACACCACTTTCCATGGTCAGCAAGGGGAGCAACCAAACCACAGCCCTCCTGCCTCTCCCAACCTGCTTCACTCAACACCATCACCCCTGAGCCAGAGCCCAGGATTTTTCCGTAAATTGCTGGGAAGGTTCAGAAAGAGGTAAGTGTCAGGTGATGCTAGTTTTGGAGTGAACATAAAGAGCTTAATGAAAATGTTTTTTGCTGTTGTTGTTGCATGAACAACTGCCCAGATATTTTTCATTCTGCTTTCAGCTCATGTTTTTCTGGTTTATATATATATCTAACTTTATATATTAAAACCATTAAAATAGAAATTACAGACCTCAGTCTTCTATCTGTGTGCAGGGCAGGGTCACTGCAGTTTAGCAGAACTTCAGTTCTGGTGCAAGCAAAGGACTGGTGCCCACAGCAGCCAGCAGGGCGGGCTCTGCCTCCATCCCAGCATCTGTGGACATAAGGAGAGGGACGTGTTTCTTTGATCGCTTCATAGTCATTAATGAGCACTAAGTTTCTTAAAGTCAAAACCTTGAAATTGTTCTCCGAGTTATCTTGAGAGCAGGATAACTTACTTCAAAGGTATAGTTCTGGAGATAAAAACCCCTGGTTTATTCTCAAAAGCTAATAATATCATCTTAGGACATCCAGGGCATAAGAAAGAAAAAATAATATCAAGTTATGTATAAAATGCTTCCTATGTTATTTAGTTAGGCTGCCATTGGTGGCCTTGGAAACTCTAAGGGGTCCTTGAAGGTAATTCTGACTTCATTTCCATCATCTAGTAGACATGATGCAAACAGAAATATTGGTTGCTTCCAGAGGGAAAAGAAGGATACCACTTTCAAGGGTAACCAAATAGCAAAAGGCATCTTTATCCAGGAACAAGTCCCAGAAACCCAAGAGCCCTGCAGTTTCATGACTACCCTGAAGGCATTCTTTGAAATGAAGGCCGGCGTGGGTTAGTCTGTCTGAGGTTTCCTGCCGTCTTGCTTGGTGGGGCCCTTTTGTCTGTCACCTGTGTCTTAGGACAGCACAGGAGTGCTCTTAGGTCTGCAACAATCAGAGGTCCCCTCCTCTGTTTGTCTGTGCTCCCCATGGTCTGTTAGCACCCTGCTCAGTGTCACGCTCTTGCCATTATTAACCTGTAAGCCAAGTGTCACTTTTCAGTCTCCTTACCTTCTCCAGATTAATCATCTATGACTTAGGCGAGTCACATGAAATAGTGTCATCTGTTTATGGTTAGGGTATCAAATGGTAGAAACGGGAGGACTCCCGATATCCATTAGCATTAACTGGAGGTCAGGCGAGTCAGAAGGTTTCAGTCACCTTGTTCTCTCCTCAGCCCCATCCCCTTTACTAGGACCCGCCATTCGAGGTCGGCAGAACAGAATGGTCTAAAGGGCCTTGCTGATTTGGGGGCTGGGTTCGTGAGCGGTGAGAGAGACAGTGAGTTCAATCCAGAAAGAGTCTGTTGACCCCCATGATAAATCCTTCCTTTCAGGGTCACCCATGGCCTGTCCCAGTCCTCCTTGTCAACCCTGGCTCCTTCCCCAGGGACTAGGCTAAAATGAAATCTGCCTCTGAAACTTGGGTGGTGGAAGGTGGAGCCAGGTACCATTGATGTGGCTGTTCCCTTCCGCCCCTGCTGAATATCAGCAGGCGTTTCCCGGGGTGTCCAGGTTTGCCTCAGTTCAGAAAGGCAGCTTTGTGTCCGTGCACTTTGTCCCGTAATGGGCTCTTTAAGTAAAACCTTTCACCTCATTAAAATCTTTGAGTTTATTTAACTGTCTCCTCTGTGCTCCGTTTTTGGTCATCTTAAGACTATCATTGATAAAAATATCAGCTGTCATTATTAGAATGCTTACTACATGCTAAGGTAGAGAGATGTCTATACATATTTAGATGCATTCATTTTATACACACTTATTTGTAATATATACACACATTTTTTTTTTTTGAGACAGAGTCTCACTTTGTTGCCCAGGCTAGAGTGAGTACTGTGGCGTCAGCCTAGCTCACAGCAACCTCAAACTCCTAGACTCAAGCAATCCTACTGCCTCAGCCTCCCTAAGTAGCAATCCTACTGCCTCAGCCTCCCTACAGGCATGTGCCACCATGCCCGGCTAATTTTTTCTATATATATTTTTAGTTGGCCAATTAATTTCTTCCTATTTATAGTAGAGATGGAGTCTCACTCTTGCTCAGGCTGGTTTCGAACTCCTGACCTCAAGCCAATCCTCCCTCCTTGGCCTCCCAGAGTGCTAGGATTATAGGTGTGAGCCACTGCGCCGGATCTATACAAACATTTTTTATGTAAAATAACTACATTGATAATATAATATACATATATACACTCAGTACCTCTCCACAGTCCACCCTGTGGAGTAGATATCCCTGTTTCATAGAAGACACTGAAGATGAGGTTCAGAGAAGTGAAGGAACTTGTTTGTGGGCCTACAGCAAAGAAGTGTCAGGCAGAGGCAGTGACCTTCAAGCCACTACACGTGTGGCCCCTTGGAAAACTCAGTGAAGGTCTGGTGCAGGCATGGATCCTTTTCTCTTATTTCCTAATTACATTTATGTCATGTATTTAAGTTGAAATGGGAGACAGGTTTCTTGTTAAAATAGTCTGGGTGGTTAGCCAGGTGCAGTGCCTCCTGCCTGTAATCCCAGCACTTTGGGAGGCCAAGGTATGACAATTGCTTGAGGCCAGGAGTTAGAGACCAGGCTGAGCAAGAGTGAGACCCCATCTCTACCAAAAGTAGGAAAATTAGCCAGGTGTGGTGGCACATGCCTGTAGTCCCTGCTATTCCGGGGGCTCAGGCAGGAGGCTCAGGAGTTTGAGCAAGTTGCAGTGAGTGATGATGATGCTACGCACTCCAGCTGGGGCAGAGGAGCAAGACTCAAACAAAAAGGCTGAGTCTTCAATTAGATGAAGTTTGCCTTCCTGCACAGATCAGTTCTTTAGCAGATTATTGCTTTCTTCTCTTCTCTCCTACCTATATATCATATTCATTCACTAGTTGAAAATACTAGCAAGAGACAGGATGCCTGGACTTATGTTAATTTCTGAAACAAGCATATTGACTTCCATTTTCAGCTTTCAATATGTTGGGCTTTGTTCTTCTGTATGTGTTTATACAAAATTCCAATGTGAGAACAATTGTGGCTGATAAACACTGTGAAAAGGTTTGAAACAAAGGCTCCACATGCCTTCAATAAGCCCTGACTACCTTCAAAATTTTACGCCAAACATAGGATGATATTTTTGAAGGCTCACCAAAAGTGGGATATTTTCCTTTGCCACAAGCAATGCAATCAATTTGTGATAGTTTTTACTTGTTCAAATTAGTTTTATTAATTGATTCTTACTAGTGCCATATTTCTGTTTTATCAGCTTTACTGTGTGAAAAACGGAGTTAATCCTTGGTCTGGGGGGCAGGGTGCATAGATTTTGGCAAGTGGTTGCTTTGACACAGGGACCTCTGAGTGGAATTCTGAGTAAGGCTCATCTTGAAACCAGGCGTGCTGAAGGTCAGCCTACTTTCTGCTGATTCCTCGTGATGCTGTTTTTTTTTTTTTTTTTTGAGCAGAGTCTCACTCTGTCACCCTGGCAAGAGTACCATGGTGTCAGCCTAGCTCACAGCAACCTCAAACTCCTGGGCTTAAGCAATCCTCCTGCCTCAGCCTCTCAAGTAGCTGGGACTACAGGCATGCGCGACCATGCCCGGCTAATTTTTCATATATATATATTTTTTTAGTTGGCCGATTAATTTCTTTCTATTTTTAGTAGAGATGGGGTCTTGCTCTTTCTCAGGCTGGTTTTGAACTCCTGACTTTGAGTGATCCTCCCGCCTCGGTCTCCCAGAAAGTTAGGATTATAAGCATGAGCTACCGCGCCCGGCCCTGCTGTTCTACTTGTGTTACCGTTTCCAAACATGACCTTACCCCAACCATCAGACTAACAGTCGACATGAACTAGGCTTCGGCTTTAGATGGTTTGATTACATCTTAATTGGTTTGATTCTGTCCAGATGGAGTAGTTTCACAGTGAGTCTTCAACCATTGAGCACAGGCCTGACAGACAGTACTCAATAAATTCCAGCTTTCATTCTTAATTATAAACTGCTCAGACAAGAATGTGAAGAGTTTTCTTAGCTTACACTAAGTATACCTAATCTCTCAAGACAATGTTGCTGAACAACCTACACAGCAGGGACGCTCCGCCCCACTTTTTCATATGCTTTTAGATATCTGCATGAGGCTGTTTACACGGCAGGTTGCTCTGTGGTCACAGCTCCATCCGACTGTGGTTTCCGCCTCTGCCGGAACCCAAACCCCCTCCCAGCCTAACAGAAATGTTCACTCATGCAGCTAGCCCTGCCTCAGTTTATACCACACCTTCTACCTGTTGGCCGAGACACTGGCTGTTGATGTCCACGGCAACCTCTGGGCACCCCAACATCACGTTCCCTCCACTAGGCAGTGAAGGAGACACTGCAAGGCTGTGTGAGGACAAGTGCACGTTCCTTGTGAAATGAACATGTCCCCACTGCTGCTTCATTTTGTGCTGTGCATTATATAGTCCAAGTTTTGTTACAGTCGTCCAGAGTGTCCTTCCTCACTGTGATCTTACTTTAAGCACCTCCTGTCTCGTGGTGTCCTTGGTCACCTGTTTGTGTCTGTGTGCCTTTGCATACTGCAAAGGGAGTAAGACGTTCCTGCCCTTCCCCACGTTGCTTTCAGCATCTGGAATTTTGTATTTATACCATTTGTGTGCTTCCAAAACGTTTTAGTGGCCTGTTCATCAAGTATGCCTGTGTGTCCTTTATTTCTTTCATATTGGCACAGTTCCCTGTGTGTAATTAATTTGAGAGGGAAACAAAGGAGAAAAGTTTAAGTCAGCCATTCTCTGTCCTAGAATTTCCCTGCATTAACCTTGACCTTAAAAATATATATGTACTGTTCCCTTAAACTCTAGAAGGCTTTGTGTCATTATATACTGTTCTGTTGCTACCCTTTCCCACTTAACTTACCTATTACTCCTAAGTCCTGTGAAATACCCCTTGGATCTGGATTGATTATACCTGATTTTCTCTGCTGTGTGTGACAGATATATTGTGGTTGTGAATTTTTCTATTCCATGTTTGTGAGAGTCTTTTATTTCCTGATCTCCACAGGACTCTCCCTCAGGAGGGAAGACGAGCCCCGTCAGCCAAGATTCCCAGCGGAAGCCCCCCGGGTGAAGTCCCCCTCGCTGGGGGCACGTCCAGTGACACTTCGGCACTTGGGCAGCCGCAGGACCTGCAACCTGCCCCACCTGACTGTCCCCCTGCCTCTCCTGTCCCATCCCGCCACTCTGTCCCTGTGTCCCCGCCAGTGCGGGCGAGAAGGTCCCTGTTCTCCCGCTTCTGCTGCTGCATGGCAGCTGATGGAACTTCACGAAACGCTTGTTAAAGAATGTGCAACTTTCAGATGCGTGTGTCAAAGAAATTAACAATTTATAAAGAAAATATCAATTTACCTTTCTTACTTGGAAAAGTCAACTTTATTGAGGGTCAGATTTTCGCCGATCCTCTGTGCACGCTCCTGTGCCTCGCAGGTGTCACCTGCACCATCTGGCCCGTCCAGATGCACAGGGACCGCGAGCAGCCTCTTGCTCTGTGGGTAACGTCCTTTCCGTCTCCGCAGTCCTTGGGACCATTTCTGTTCACAGGGAAGGAACCAAACCATTCCCGCCTCCACTTCTCACCCTGTTTTCCTGGTGCATCCATTCAACGTAGCTCTTTATTTGGGCAAAACAATGTCAGCAGCTGGGCAGGGGGATAGATTTTGTTGTCCCCTGACCTGCCCTGAAAGATAATAGAGCACAAAAGACAGTTGTCATCTGTGCCTTAAATTATATGTTCACGTATATGCATGTCTCTATGCACGTACTGGGATCAACCCGGCATGTCTTTAACTACTGCAATCTGTTAGGATTCTGTGTTGCAGGTGGCAGAAAATCCAGTCCAAACAGGCTTAAAAGAAAAAGTGCATCAGTTAGCTCATACACCTAAAAAACCCTGGCCTGGGGTTAGGGTCCATCTCGTAGTTCTGCCTCCTCTGTGTGAGTTCCACATCCAAGCTCAGCATGGGCGGACTTGACTTCTTCCTGCACACGGCTCTGCTCAAGCCCAAGCCCAAGCCCGGGCTTGTCTCCTTGATCTGTGTGTGCTGGCTCTGGGCATCTCCCAACCTGTCGGTGGCCAGAGTAGCTGGGAAAAGTCTGGGGTGGAGTCAGCTTCATCTGTAGCCCAGGGACCTAGAGGTGCTTTCCCTAAAGTAAAGTTTAAGGATTGCTGCCTCAGGAAAAGAATGGACACTGAGTGACAAAGTAAGAAACCTGAAGGCCTTTGTTCCCAGTCCTTCTCTGACTATACAGAGCCATTCTCCAAGGCAGAGGGCAGAATTATCAAACAAACAAAAACGCAGGGGCAAGAAGCTCTTCTTGAACATTTTACTTGAAAGACTTTGTCTCCCTCATGTTGGGCTGTCAGAATCCGTGGCTGGTTGATCATTAACCACTTCGGTACAGTGCTCACTGGCTGTGAAACCTTGCCCACAGCCGGCACTCACATTATGCACGATAGTCTGCGCTGTGCATTGACGACACATCCATTTTGCTCTTGTGTGATGAGGAAACTTTACAGGCAGCTTTACTTGTAATGTAAATCAGAATAGGTAACATATACATATATGTTTTCATTATGTTATTTGTAAATGTTCACTATTTTGATAAATGAAAAATTAGAAAAGTTAAGTTTTTTTATTAATGCTAAAGTTGACGCTCAGCTGTGCGCCTTCATATCATGGCTGTCGGCTACAGTCGACACTGGGCTGTGTGCATTCATCTGAGGCTGTCGACTATAGTTGACGCTGGTACTGAAGTGGTTAATTCAACCTGTTTAATTTTCCAAACCTCACAGCCAATAAAAAGCCCAGTTCTGCAATACGACTGCGATTCGTTGTCAGTTCACAAAATACAAGGAACCAGTAAAGACCCACGCAGTGAAACCAGCCACAGTTTTGCCTCCAGTGGCTTCACGTCCACCCGGGAGAACATGCTGGGTCCTCGGAATGTGAAATCGCCAGAGTGTAGACAAGTCCTCCCATAGTGCAAAGTCAAATAGTCTGTGCAGGCCTCAGTTTCCTTCCCTGCAAGGGGAGGTTGGGGCTGCAGAAGACCCGTGAGTTCAAATATGAGTCGCTCATTCAGTTATTACTTTTTGATTCATCTATTCACTCAGTCAAGTGAGACTGGCACCAGCATGGCCTCATGGAAAGGCTGGGCCCTGACACACACAGACCCGAATTTCCATCCCGGCTCTTGCACGGAGTAGCCGGCTAACTGTGACAGGGCATCAGGTTTTCATTCTGAGCCTCAGTTTCCTTTTATTTCAGTTGAGACACTATTGTTCCGGTGCTGCTAAGAGCATTGTGTGATACCAGTGGTTCCCACTGGAGGCCATTCCACCTCTGGGGGGAAGTCTGGAAATTTACTGGGCATTTAGAGAACAAGGACTGGGATCTAGTCATCCTACCACATCTGAATCCTTCAAATCTAGAATACACCTTTCTATACCCTAGAAAACCGTGCTGTGTCCCAGATTCCTCTTGGATGTTTCAGTGAAAATGAAGAGTCTACCCTGAGTTTACTGCTAAGTACGATGCTTTTATGTGATGGTGCTACGCATTGACTTTCCACAAATGGATCTACCATATAAATTAAGGAGAAAGTACACGGTGCTTTGTTTGGCACTTTACTGAGAGTTGTTCATTACTTTGGAAAAGTGTGCTGCCATCAGGAATTTTATTGCTGGTATTTGAGTCATTAGTAAACACATTTTATCAAGCTGCATTTGTAGCTGTCCTGTTTACAGTGATTTTACACATACACATGCAGACTGAGCACTTACTCAAAAATGTTACCTATAAGGCTAAAGTGCCAAACAATGTTCAGTTAGATATTTAATATTGATTTTATCCCAATATTTCTTCTGCCAAAACAGAGTAGAAACATAAATTAGGCAAATATTTTCTGAAAGAATATACCAATAGAGAGAGATGTCAAGTACGTATTGTACCTCCAAGACATAAGGAAATGATTGGAAAAAAGTAATAATGTAACTGAAATACTGATGGCATTTTTGGATCAGAAGGAATATTTATCACTGCTTCTTAGATAAAACCAATGTAAAAATTAAAGTAAAATATGGCAAACTACACAATATTAGAAAAAAATATCTTGTTAGCTGTATGAGTGACTATTACAAAAGTGAAAAGAAATTCAAGAAAAGTATTTTTCTTTTTCACCAAGTAATTTGCATGTTAGAGAAGAATTTTGAGGTGGGGTAAGAGTTCAAATACAACTTCATCATGCACCGCAGTCCAGTAAATTTTCATTATGAGTACAGACACGTCTCAGGTGATGATGATTTTCTGTTTGCATCTATTAAATTTGTAAGAAATGAAGAGTCACAGAGCAAATGTTATTTTCAAAGTTACTGACAGTGGATATGAATAAACTCCATTACACGAAACCCTTAATTAACATTCCTAGAAAGCAGGTCGTTTCCCAGAGCCTTCGCCTCGGCAGCAGAGGGAGCAGGGGCCCCGCGAGTCAGTGCGCAGGCGCAGGCGCGGGGCTGTGGGACGCTGCGAAGGTGAAGGTGCTTCAGCAATTGCTTGTCTCATGCTCCACGCAGGGCGCCAAGGTCACAGCAAAAGGTCACACACCGCAGTGGTGCTGTTACTGCTCCTGGTGACATGGGCAGTGCTTCCCGGGATAACAGATTATTTTGTGAACTGTGTAGTGACTGTGAAGAAGTGTCTGTGTGTCTTGTTCTGAACAACAAAAGAAGTAGCTCTGCTAAGGAGAATGGTTTTTTTTAAAAAAAAGTTCAATTTTTAGCTCTTCGAGGTATCTCCAAATTACTTTCCACAGGGGTTATAATAATTTGCAGTCCCACCAGCAGTGTAGGAGTGTTCCAATCTCTCCACATCCATGCCAAGATTTGTTATTTGGGGACTTTTTGATAGAGGCCATTCTCACTGGAGTTAGGTGATATTTCATTGTAGTTTTGATTTGTATTCTATGGAATACTACTCAACTACAAAAAACAATGGTGATCTAGCACCTCTTATATTATCCTGGATAAAGATTGAGCCTATCCTTCAAAGTGAGGTATCACAAGGATGGAAAAACATGCACCACATGTACTCACCATCAAATTGGTACTAATCTATAAGATACTGGGCTATAAGGACAATGGACACCTTCCAGGTTCTGTTTACTGCTTGTTTGCTAACCGCAAGGCATTATGAGTACATTATGGGATGCAGAGGAAAAAGACAAAGAACACGGAAACTGGAGTCTCTCAGCTAGGACCTGGAACAGGTTAGAGCCTATCAGGGGCAGGATGAAGTAAGAATCACTGTGGGGGCGGATGCATGACCAGTGTGTAAACAACTTAGCTATAAAAGGGTCACTAGCACACAAAGGGGGGTCCCTGCCCAAAGAAGAGGCCACTGCGCTGGCACTCTGGGGGCTTGGACCCTAGCTTGAGCTAGACAATAAAACTCCTTTTGATAATTACAGCCTCCGTGACTCTGTCTCTCTGTCCTGCAGCCCTGCAAATCTCAAATATAACAATCAACCCTAAGGTGCTCACAGGTAGTAAAACTCACCGGGTGCTGGTCAGGTAGGGGGGTGTGGGGGTAAACTCACACTAATGGAAACAGGGCACACTGTATGGGGAAGGACACACTTTATAGCTCTGGCTTGGGCGAGGCAAACACATTTCATATAACCAAAATGCTTGCACCCCCATAATATACTGAATTAAAAAAAAAAAGATTGTTCACTTTTTGATGCTACTAAGTAACTAATTTTTCCCTGGTTTTCCCATTTAATTCATCTTGAGGTGCATGCAAGAGTTTATTTCCATAATGATTCAATGAACCAATGTTAACCAATTTATGTGCTACTAATATTATTACTAATATAAAATGAATCCATAATTTTAGCAATGCCAAGGCTCAGAATAAATAAATTTTAAATCTAGTCATTGAAAAATTATATGTTGAAACTGAAATATTAAGAAAATATGGGATATATTTTTCAGACATAGTTAAAATGTTAAATGGATCCTTCCTAATTTGTAAGGAAATTAGACAACTGAAAAGGGATTCTCAATAACTGTATTATACATAACCTCACTCACTGAAACTTGCATAAGTACACATATGTTCTAATTTAGAAATATATTTCTCAGTCAGATACTATTTAAAATGTATAAAGAATTGATTTCTAGATCTCTCTCAACTGAATCTACTAGACCTGGCTACTAATCCATTTAAAATAACAAAGAATATGTTGACAATTTGCAGGAAGTTAAGTGACCTTGGGTTCAAAATGTCTTAACTGTTATAGTTGGAACAGATTTATCGCTTAAGATTTTCACACCCATTCATTTGGAACAAAGCTA